ATCTATTCATGAAAATCCCTCATGTTTCTTTTGTCCCCTCATGATTTGTGATATGGAGATGTATCTCGAAAACACTAAATTGCTTTTTCTCTCTTCAACAAAGCTTTTTTTTTCCTCCTTGTCAAAATTTCCTTCATACATTTTCCAAATGACCAAAATGTCATATCTGTCTGAAAAATAACATTTGGTGCTAAGCACCATGATATCCCAGTCTGGCTTGATACCATGACCTGGGTTAAAAATCATACACACCATGGTATCATTAACATCAACACTGGCTTGCTACGTGCATTTTACCAGAGCTGGGTTCTCTGCTTGACCCTTCTGACAAAAAAAAAAGGTAAATGTCATTAAGAGGTTGCACTAGGTTTCTTGCTGTAGGGGTCCTCAAGATCCTCAGGTTTGATATGGAAGGGTCCCCTGATAATTAAGTGGGTCCAAGTGAAGCACAAGGGAATCTTGAAGGGTTCCCCAAAAGTAAAAGTCCAGCAATCCATGCATATTTGCTGACTCGTTGTAACATAACTAAGCAGTATGATATTCAATCCAGCAATCTTGGACCTTCTGTCTGTGTGTCCCGGGGGTCCAGGGACCCTCGGGATGCATTGGCAGGAGGCCAGGGCAAGAATCTTAGCGCAGATGTCAATGATTGAGCTTTAGATTCATGGTTCTTTAATTTAAGTTGTTTTGCAACCTTGCAAAAGCTTTTTGCAAGCTGAATCTAAAGCATCTTTCTCAGTCCCAAGGTAATTGATCAGCACCATGTATTTAACACTTTCACTCAAAGGGACATACTGATACATCCAGCTTCTTTCCATTTCAGCACCCACAGGATATACAAGTACATCTCTCAACTATGAATGGTGATTCCACGATTTTATATATGAGCAAAAAGTTGAGGGACATACTAGTATAGTATGCCCTGTAGGCGGTACAACAAATCAAAGCCAGACATATCAGTATGTCCATCAGAGTGCAAGCGTTACAGGGATTCTTCAAAATTTTCTTTTGGCAGAATATTGAGCATGAACATAAATTTCATTATCCAGTTTACAAACTGGAAAAAATAAAGTATGGTAAGCATTAATTTTTTTTTAGACATGGTTCCAGGAGCTACTTGTGTATCACACTGATGAAAGTAGGAAAAGTAAATTTTCTGCTAATATCAATAATTAATGAAGTAAGCCATCATGTACATCAGCTTCTGCCTACAGTTACAGGCTAGTGTCTATCCTTTTTTCACTGCAGTATTATGTATGGACCAAGGTTGCAATAATAATTGGGCTTTGTGGATATTCTATTGACTGGAGCATTGATGCAATCAAATTTAAATGTTTGTATTTATTTCTGAAATATTTTACTCCAACCTTTAGAACTCTAAAGCACAAAATGCATCAACAGCTTCAAGTCTAAACTTGGACATGTATGTCAGTTATCAACATGGGGATCACTTTAGAGAGATGATGCCTTTCAGAATCACTGGGATATATTGAATACCCTGCAAGGTTTAAGCAATGGTAAATGTATCCAATATTTGAAGGGACTCCTGGAGTTCCTCCTGATGCCTGACTGGCATACATGCCAATATTAGTTAGTATCTGATACAGAGGAATTCATTTGAATCTGAGGAATGGATCATTGATAGGGCTGTGAGACAACAATATGGAAATGAAAATGAATAAGCATTTCTCATTATCTGCCCAAATTCTCTAACCAGCAAGTGTTGTCAAGAATTGGAGAAATGAGAAATATGTCCTCATCTATGGTGATGCCTTGCTGCACATTCAGGAAAAGCATGAATTGCTTTCAAAAGTTATGAAAATACCTGGACCAACAAAAATACCAAAAAGAGTGTATATGTGACCAATTTTGCAATTTTATTTAACCTTATAATTTTTTATCCAAACACTAGTAAACTAGCCCCCTTTTTCCAGATAGTAGTAAACTCTTAACTTGTCACTTATTCTGAAAGTGGATTGGAGGTGGAGGGTTGTTATGAGGACTGAGACGTGCACAGACAGGCCTCTTTTCATATGATATCCAAGGATGGATTTGCAAATGGGAGAACTGTATTAAAATGGAGGGTAAGACCACCCTAGTTCGGACACTGTTACAAAACTAAGCATTCACAAGGCCACCTTCAAAAACGGTTCTTCCTAACATGAGATGAACATGTTACTGAGCAAAGGAAAAGCAGTGGTCATAACTTTGCACAATTCCAAGACATTGGGCTTAGACCAGTGCTATATCTCAAACAGGAGGAATTCTTAAAGAAACTGTAAGGAGAGAACCTTACTTTTAAAGTGTTTCAAATGTGGCATTGTTTTCTGCACTCAATTCTTACTTCCCAGGAAACTATGTCATGAAGTCATGTTGAATGAAGAATGCATGTGCATTGATCACATCACTGTCTAACTTTTGGTGTGTCCAAACTTAATCAAGAAATGTATGAGAAACTTAAGTTCGGACATACATTCACGTGTCATATCCTCATAAATGTGTCTTCATGAGATAAAGAACGTTTAGAGTTGACAAAAGCTCAGTTGCTGCATGTTTTTCAGAGAAAATGTATTTTGGAGCTCTGTCCAAACTTTCATAATGGGACATGTAACTTCGGACACCGTCAAGCACATGTGCAAAAAGTATAGCATCATATATTTCTTTGCACACCTAAGTGTCTAAGTGACTTGTCTCCAAAGTAGTGCAATCATGGTAGAAGGTTCGAATGTGAGGGATTATTGATCTGAGGCTGGTGAAAAAGCCATCAGAGCTTTTATTCGGGTGAGACGTCCTTCAGAAAGGCGAAAATTGCTCACAATAAACACATCTACTATATAAATTTTCTTCTGGGAGTTGTACCTCCAAATTTGGAGCAGGAATATGTCCCAGAAGTTGGATGTTTTCTGAATTAAGCATGCAGAGAAATACTTGTCTACTGAACGTAATGAACTGTACCTGCTTGGACTGCTTTTAAAAAAGAAATTCCAAAAACATGACCCTAATGAAAAGTGTGCACCCAAGGGATTTACCACTAGAGTAGGATTTTTCCAGAAATAAGGACTGGAGAGCAACCTATGTACCAAATTCCAGATTTCTATATCCACCACTACCCAATTCAATGTAGCATAACAAATTTAAAAATATGGCTCCCCCAAATGTATGTATGTTCCCCTCAGAATATACAAGGTGGGCCAAAAAAAAATACAAAGCTATCATTTTTGATAAGTCGTCAATCTGATTGTAGGTTGCCAGTTTTTATTAAATTTGGTAGACACATAGGGTGACTCAATTAGGGTTTGTGTGCCAAGTTTCAAATAAAAATTCCAAAAACTGAGATTGGCATTTAATATACATTTATCACTGATATAGTAAGTGTTCATTTTTTCTTTCAGCTTAAAATCTTTCACAACTGACAAAAACAAACAGAACAATAACAAAGGCACAAATGCAAAACACAAAAGCCCACAATTTGTTTTAGGGACGTTCATTTCAACAGAAAAGGTCCTCAATGTGCCCTCCATTCTGTTGAACACAAGCCTCTAGTCTAGGATACCACAGATCAATGGCTTGGTCAATAAACCTTTGAGGCAGTGCCTCCCAATCCTCCTTTGTAGCATCATGCAGGTATGGAAGTTTATGAATTTGGACCCTTTCTTCCCAGCCTCAAGTTCATATCGATATTTTCAACAGCACATTTTGTCATTGGTCATCAGAAAATATTTACAGCTCTTATAATTTTAGAGCCAGAAAGCTGAAATTTGGTATACAAACTCCAATTGTGTCACCCTATACGTCTACCAATTGTAATTACAATCAGCAAGCTACAAAGAAATTGATGACTCATCAAAAATGACAGCTTTGTTTTTTTTTGGCCCACCCTGTATATCCCAAAAGTTGGATTTTCCCTTATGTCTGCATACCAGCAGATACCTATTAAGTAAGGTTTCAGCCTTCTGTCTCCATGATTCCCTGGAACTAAATAATTTTTTTTAAAAAGGTCCACCTGCAAAATATGCCCCTGGGAATGAATCCTAAAAGTAGCTTACTCCCCCCAGATATCTGCATCTCAATAGATACCAATGCACCAAGTTTCAGCTTCCATGTCTCTGTTTCATTGGAGGAAAAAAATGTATGGTGAAATGTCTCTCTTAGAATAGTACATGAAATTAGCACCATCAGAGTAATTTTTGCATGAAATTTTAACTTTCAGTCTCATCTAGAATATGGTTAGAATTAAAGTCAGATGCTCACTCAATCATGATCATCCTATTCTAGAAATGAAAAGATCCAATACTTTGGGAGCCAGTTATCATTCCTCTACACCAAAATGAAGTGTTTCAAGCCTCTTTGAGACTTTAAAACAGGGGTGTCTGAACTTAATTTTTTCTGCATCCAAGTTCGGACATCTACATTACAAGCAATATCGGTAGTCATAAGGCAAGGAAGGACATCTTTTTTGCACTCATGCCTCATTATGTCATGCTCCCAGAAGCATAAAATGAAGCTTCCAGCTTGCACCATTGAGATGAGCGAATGATGAGGCCGGGGAAGCTTAACTGTCCGAACATTGGTGGTTTTACCCTAGCAGTAGAAAAGAAAAATACAGAGGCAAATTGACTATTCAGAAAATTTTCATTCAGATGGATTGCTTATGCATCTCAAATTTTTAACTAATTCTCTATTCCATTTGATGCTTTAACTTTGAATTTGAGGTTTTGCATGAGTTTTAGTCCTTAAAAAAAAAAAATGTGTAACTGCCTCATTGCATACCTAGCTCATGGGCAGAATATATATTTTGATGAGTTCACTCCTGCACCTGAATCCAAGTTCTTGTGAGGTTGAGAGATGTAACAATGAGTTGATGACCACCAGGTTGAAAAACTGACATTAAGTCATGACTTTACTCAAAATAATAGCAAATCCATGAGGAGGAAACAGTAGTTCCAATTGAAGGTCCACCCCAACTATAAGGGCATCTTTCCAGATATGCAGAGTTCAATGGTCATTTTGACGCTATCTTGTACCAACATGATTGCATACATGATCATGAAAGCATCATTCATTGTTGTGTTAGTAATAACAGTTTTGCAGTGTTTGAAAGCCTCATCATATTCATAGTTTCCAATAGAAAACGTCATTAAACGTACGTCTTCAATCTATTGCATTACTTAAAATGATGTTGCCTGAAAAAAATAATATTTTGAAGTTCCTCTGAACATTTTATGAAAGCAGTGGAACTGAAATGCACAACCACCCCTATTTTCAATATCCTGCTTCTCCAATGATTGTTAGGAGTCATGGCAAAAGGGAAGGAAAAATCTCAGCAAAAGAACAACAAAAACATTTCAGCACTAATTATTCAACTCTGCATATCTGAAGGAAAAAAAGTTATGGAAACTCAGCAGTCATTGCAGGCAGGCATTTTCATTGAAAAAAAAATCACAGATCACCTCTTCTCAGAGGACTTTTTGCTATTTGTAGAGGACTTTTTGGGTCTGCCTCGGCCATGAGTGGTCTTGGAGACTTTGTTTTCTTTGAGAGATGCTGTTTCCTCCGTCTCACTATTATGTAGAGATGCATCATCTGCTTCAGTCTTCACATCAGCTGTCAGATCCTCTGTACTGCTCTGGATGCCTTGGGAATCAGTCTCACTGTGATGACCTATTTTAAAATAAGCATGAAGACATTATAACAAGTTCCACTTCCTTAGCTTTGAGGTAAAGCCCTACATGTGAGGACTGATGCATAGGCCTACCTCTGTCTCCTGCATTGTCACCAGTCCGATTCACAGCCTGGACAAAGGGGGACCATAATATTAACAAACACACAACTTGTGGAGTCTGAACCTGTGAATAACTTTGAAGGAATTGATATCTATGACTGAGCCTATGATAAAGTAAGTTACTTACCGCCATTGATGTAATCGAGGACATAGAAAACAATCTATCAGAATCTTTGATCTTCCGACTTCTTTTATCTGCTTTGAGGGCTGGGTTTTTTTGCGCTGAGAGGTAACGATCCCATCCTCGAATGATGTTGCCATAAAGCTGAGTATCTTCTAGATAGCTTCCTTCGAAGGCGTAGATTTGCCTCTCAAGGTTCGCCAAAGTGTCCTAAAGGAGACCGGGAACTCTCGTTGTGGCAACGTCCAGAGCTAATATGGTTAAGGTAAATGGTCGCTGGCGAACTCCAATAAGGGAAGAGTTTGATGAAATGCAAAAGTAACCCTCCCACATCACATACTGAACATTAATTTTTGCGAATAGTCAGTAAGGCGACTTTATTTCACATTAAAAGCAATGGTTCTTGGATCAATATGCGCTCTCCTGCTATGGGGGCAGCCATACTGATTCAGGTAACTAGCAGTAGTCTCGCACATCTCCCGCCATTTGCCAATATCTCAATGACAAGACTCGAACTGACCGCTACTATGCCGACTCCCCATGTTTTAACACGAAGCCTTACTCTGATCCCCATTCTCTGTATTCATCCGCCCAATGCATGCACACTATCGTTGCCTCCGTATATTCCTGTGGTGTCCACTCAGAAAATTATTATTCCACCCTTAATAGTGACTCCAAGTCAACCATGCCAGCATGTTGCCTTGAGCAAGAAGCTTTCATTCTAAACTAAAACAAAATTTGAAAACAAGGGAAAACGTAACCAATGATCATTGACCTTAGCCGCTAATAGAAATGAAACGAGGCCATGCCATTAATGTAAACTGTATAAGAAAACTCACAGCAATCTCACTGCGTCTCTTGACGAGTTCTGCAAGTTCGGCCCTCGCGTCACATACTTTTTGCTTCGCCGCCATCTTTGATTTAGTTGCGACTAGATAGCCACCTGGTGTATGTAGTGTGAGCCTTCATTTCCTCGTGTTCATGCAGGTTGCGCCATGCTTCCCCGCTGTCTTGCTGAAAATAAGAGAACAATGCTCTGATGGTGAATGGTGGTCCAGTGCCATAACGCACTGTGATGAAAATGTCTCGCGCTATGGAGAGTGAAGGGGGCAGATACCCCGGACGTATCATGCAATTGGATGCAAGCAACTTGGACGCAGAATTATCCCAAGCTCTGCGAATTGAATCCGATGCCCTTCTGCAATATTGGGTTCATTCCTCCTTTTTTCATTTTTTTATTCTTAATCTTCCTTTCAGTCGACCGTTCGGTAGATGATTTTTTCTGGGGCTGTACTGATACATCGGCAACCACCGATATCAGTGCCATCGGTAGGTTTTTAAGCTACCGATGACCAAAAAATATGCCGAACGAGAAGAAAAATCACGTAAGCGCGTCCCGGTAAATGAATGCGTGATAGAAAAAGTAGGGCTGTCGCGATCGATGGATGGTTTGAGACATCGATAGCTCCGTTACCTATCACGATGGTCGCACCCCACCCTGATCACGGACGAGAAATAACGGGAGAGGGAAAGAGGTCAGCTCCCCGATCGAAATCAAACCTCCCCATCGCGACTTTAGATGATGAGAGATAACTGAATCCGCCGGTATCCCTCCCCTCCCGTGCAGTATCGACGCACCATCAGGTGCATTGATGCATCGCAGCATCAAGTTCTAGTCGATACATGGACGTTTTCAAAACAGCCATCATGACAGCTCTGAAAAAAAAGCAGAACTGGTCTTCCTAATGATCTATTTGAGTATTTGAAATAATGGTTCTTCGCTCTTTATCTATATGTCACAATTGGCACCGGCACCGACTGATAGAAATAAAATCATCATCGATAATCGACCCTTCAGTCAAATGTGGCGTTCGGTACAACTCTAATGTATTCGTTATCTTTTCCGTTATCAGCAATCACTCTACAATATTAGTCATCCAGTTGCGTTACACTAGTTAGTTCAGCCGTCATTCCTTTATTCAACTGACAGCATCGAAACAATCCTTCAATATTTTATCATCCTGGTTCTTCATGAAGTCTTTGAGCGTGAATAACTTATCACCCTTGTATTTCGCATTTGAATTGGATTTGAAAAGGTTATTTGTTCGTCAACCAATTCAATAAATGTATTGAGTGAAAAAGGAGCGGAGAGATNAAAGACCTCGACTGAGTCACTCCAAGTCTTTGCTTTACGTGGGAGGCCTGGTTCTTCCAAAATACTTGGAAAATCGCCCTACTTCTTCTCTGTTCCCGCAATCTCCTCTGGTGAGGCATGCACCGATCGATGATTTTGATCATCTTCTTCTGTTCGATTGAAATTGGGAAATTTCTCTTCCTTAGGCGCAGAAATTGTGGGATTGGATGGAATGGTTCTTGCATGTGTCAGTATTCCTGAATGCCCTCGTATTCTTGGTGGAAGGGAGATATCCGACTGTACTGCATCGAATGTTAAGGCTTCGTCAACAACTCCGGGACCCTGGCGTGACTCGAAGTCCCGATTATGCAGACATGACGCGGGAAATGACATGGCGAGGTATTGCCGTGAGTACCCTCTCCCTGAATTCCTTTTATTTCCATGCATTCTTATTTCGAAATCTCGTTAAAGAGAAGGCGGGGATGTTTGCGATATAGGAGATGATGGCAATGTTGGTCCCGTTATTGCGACTGAGAGCCATGAAGAAATGGACTGAGTATGTGAAAAGGATCAAGACACCGGTGGGAAAAGTGGAGACAGTCAGCGCCGCTCAGGTCCTAATCCACGAAGCACCAGTGGCAAGTGTGGGATGCATTGTATGTGGGGAAGCCACACCCACTTTTCCCACACACATTCCTTCGTGCCCTCACTCTCACATCCTCTGCTATCTTTGCGCCATGGTAAATTATTTTGACTACATCCTTTCAATTCCATTCCCATCTATTTATTCCTTACTTATTCTCCCTTTCCCTCTTTTCCTTCCTCATTTTGGAAGACGGAAGCGAAAGTCGACCAGGGATTTCGTTGCATCGCATGTGGGAGGACCTCGGATGTCATCATTCCCTTGGCTCAACCTTCTTCGAGAATATTATTTAAAAAGCGTATGTTGAGCCATTAGCTACTTTAGTTAAACACATTTATAAAAGCAAATAAATAACCCCATGATGACATTGAAGGACTCAGAGAATAATTTAAATGCCTTTTTTATTTTATTTATAATAATAAAAAAAAACGTTATGTGGAGATATAAACGACAACGATTATGGACACATAAGACAGGATAGAATGCGAAGATTCGAATACGGAGACGGACGATCACACTGTCGCACCCGTTCGGACAAACCACTGGCACCAAAACAATTTTTTCTAACATCCATCTCTCTTCTCTTTCCGCCTGAAAAAAAAGGAGAATGATAATTTAATACCAAGATAGAGAATGGGATGGAAAACCAACTCATAAAATGTAAAAAGTCGATGATGATAGATAGAATGTAAAAAAAAATCAATAAAAGTGTTACTTGGAGGACATGAGGTAGGATTAGTGCAATGTCAGCAAGTACTTAAATATCTATGTTCTCTGGTACGAAAGTCAATGGGAAACAAATTGATGCGCATTTGCGGAAAAATACCTCATAAGGCCTAATAAGGGAATAATATCTCAATAAGGGTCGAAGGATTATTCAACACGTATGAATCATTGTGAGACACGTGTAAAGCATTTTTTCGCTTTCTGCCAAGCGTACGAATCTCATTGAGAAACACTACATGGTGACCAATAATCGGTTTTGTTACTCATGGTGTGTATCTCACCATCTATGAATTGTATGACCTTGAATCTTGTTAAAGTAGTTTACTAGACTATGGAGAGGATTATGGGTCCAGCATCATCTTTTATGAGGGACGCCACGCAGGATGGAAAGAATGACTGCAGATGGTGAATGAAAAAAGGCAGACATTTCGGACGTTTATTATACCAGCGCCTCCAACCTATGAGAAGTAATTCACTCCATGGTGTAATGCAGTGGTTCCTGGTCAATGACATTCTTTGGATTCCTTGACTTTTGGCTTGGGCTATATTGCTAAAAAGTTTCTCATTCTTATTTTTTCCACACGCAAAACTGTACTCTCGCGACACACCTGAACTTTGGTGACAGGGCACCAGTGTGCCGCAGCACAGTAAAGTAAAAGTATTATTTATTTATTTTTTAAATTTCGGCAGGTTTTTGATTCGAAACGGTTCTGAGAAGGAATTGAACGATAAAAGCGGCAAAAACGGTATTTAAAAAATCAGAACACAAAAAAGTACTCAAGTACGAGTGTGGGGCACTTATACTCAGTACTTTCCAGGAGTACTTAGTGCCTCCGCTTAGTCTTGATATTCTCAGGATACTTGTAATTAAGTACAAAAGTTGATGACTCACCGGAAAGTCTGAGAGAGGGGAAGGGTTGGGATGGAATGACTCTGACTAGTGTCCACCGCCACCACCGCCGCCGATGTGGAGAACCTTCACGCCTCCACGTTCGTCAGAGCCGGACTCGTCAGAACCTCGCCCTCGCCCGTATCCGTGTCCGTGTCCGTGTCCGTGGACGTAGTAAGGAGTCCGGATCGGCATCACGTAATTGACATACACCGGGTAATGCTTCATGACTGGCACCACGATGTGGCGAGGCACGACCACCGGTATGGCCTGTTTCTTAACCTGACAATAGCAACAACAAAAAATTCATTTGTGCAAGTCATTCGTAGTATTTGATGATGATGAAGATAGATACAGAGAGAGACTCACGTAGTTTTGGACGAGGGTCCTCCTGAGTCCTCTTCTACCAAAGCTCTGGCCATGGATCAACACCACACATGCCTGTCCAAAAATTGCACCTTTACCGCCATTTCGAACTCATGCCCACTATTTTGTTTTTCATATTAATCCTCGAACATGTTCCTTTCTTGTTGCTCCGTAGTCCTCTGTGACCATGAATGAACTAGTACTTCTCCTTTTATTATTGTAAATAAGGCTTCACTCTGTTCATCATGGGAGATGTAAGATTCTACAAGCTACTTATAAGTTGAAATCGTCTCTGGGGCACTTGGGCTGCAATTTTGAAATCCATAATTTTTAACTCAGAGGTCCTGTC